ACGGACCTGCTGCAAGCGGCGGGCTTCCATGGCCTGGACGATTATGTCGTCCTGGACACTGCCGGTACCACCGACGACGCATCGGTTTGCTTGGACATCTTCGACGCGACGACGCAATGCCGCCGAGGGTGTCTCGTCCAGTGCCTACGCGTCGTGATGACGCGCCGCTCACGCAATCCAAGAAGATCGTACGTGGTCGGTGGCCAGCAACTTGCGCTGGAGGCCGCGCACAAGAGCCGATGTCGCAGTGCGCGGTCGCTCGGGTATTCCATGCCTCTCTCCGATATCGACTTCCTAGTAGATATCGAAACAACGGTCGCACAGTGCTCGTAGAAAAAGCCAAGGACGGACTCCCGGGTCTGCGGCGTCGATATCGCTGTCGTCGTCGCTGCTGGCAAAACCCGTGTCATCGTCTTTCTGCCACTCTCGGTACGTCGTGGCCGAGACCGGTCGGCCGTGGAGGCGCGCCGTCAGTTCGTCACTGTGGCCATCGAGTCGGAGTGTTCGCCTGCGTTGCGCTTGCAGCACCGCATGGCCGTGCCTCTCGACGTGACCTACTCACGATGGTGGTGGAGCCATTCCTCATGCAGGACAAAACACAAGAATACTGCCCCACGACGACGTTGCACTCTTGGTGTCGTCATTCGTGACCTCGTGCGATGTGCTGCTGTTGTCGCCATCATCATTGGGATCGCTCGCGTCTGGCACTTGATTGGCCGCCCACACTTCTGCAAACGAGCTAAGGACACAAAAAGCGTGACGTGATGATGCTCCATGCCATGAAGTTAGGATACATGGTGTCTCGAATGTTGCGCGGCGACGCGAGCGGTGGTGTGTGCGCGGACGACTTGCGTCGAGTTGTCGGTGCCGCCGCCACGGAAGGGGACGAGAGGGTCTTGACCTTGAGCGACGCCGCACGAAGAAAGCCATCACCAGGGACCCGCTTCGATACGCTGTCGGGGCGCGTGTTGCGATAGCGCATGCCATCGTGCGCCCGCATGCTCGGTCGTTTGATGACCGATGTCTAAGTTTGGAGGCTACCCCTACCCCGCGGGTCATATGTAGTCGGAGGTCCAATGCGCAGGAGTAGCTTTGAAGAGAGACAAGTAGAACAACACGTCTCTGATAGCCGATGCTTACTACGTGGCAACAGTACTTTTTCAAAACCACACACCGTGTGCAAGGCACAAGAGAGATATCGGTGGCAATCAACTAGCCTCGACGACTTTTTGATGTACAAGATGTCTGTTTCTCATGTTGACCACACTGGTTTTTGGGTACATGTCCTCGCAATGACGTTGGCGGGATCGAGACACAGCCGATGATTGTATGTACTACGCTTCCGCATCGGTGCTTTTTAACGCGAAAGAATGGAAGATGGTTGATGGAGACTGATATGAAAGCGCTACGAAGCGGCTTTGGCTTTTTTTCCTTTGGATTTGCCCGACTTGCGCTTCTTGGTTTTCTTCTTCTTCTTGGTGGACTTGCCTTCCTTGCTCTAGGACCAAACATGACAATCTGTACACTCTGAAGCGTACTACCTTGTGCAACGTATGGCGGAAACTTCCGAGCGGATTCTCGGGCAGTTTTGAGCCCGCGGTCGGAAGCCGCTTGACGCACTCGAGGCCAGGCCTGTCCTCGGGCGTCAAGAGCGCACGCTCAAAGACGTGCGCGTTGAAGTGGATGTGGTGGCGCTCAAATGCGGCGCGGATCGCGCCGACTTCGTCGAGCTCCTCTCTTCGGAGCGCGCTCATGCCATGGCTCTTCTTGCCCTCGGTGCGCACCTATCCATAGTGATGGTTTCAGCAACCTGCTTCACACTATAGTATGCTGTACCGACGGACACTGGCGCGCGGTCGTCGCAGCGTGAAAGACTCGGAATTCCGAGTCCAACGGCTGAGGCTGCGCCGGCACGAGCCCTCGAACGTCCGTCTTGGTCTTCTTCTATCGATGGTCGTATGTCGTTTCAAAGTCCCCAAATCTAGTGCACCCACTCGCTTGACACGCTGGAGCGGCGGCGTCTTGGCCGCCTCGGCAGGTACACCGAGCATGTACGAGGCCGGGTAGTGCTGCGACGCGGGCTGCGGCGCGTC